TGAAGCTTCTCTACTGTGTGCCCAGCCACCTGGAATGGCACAGCAAGGGCAGGAGTGGGAGGAGAAGCCACCACTGGAGGCAAGGGATTGCAGAGCAGCACCTGGCTGGCTGCAGCCACACCAGCAACAGCCCTGCTGGAGCCTGTGCGCACTGGCTGGAGCCTGGGTTGGTGGGGTGGTTCTGCTCCCCTTGCCTTCAGCAGTGGCTCCTCCTCTTGCTCCTGCCCCGGCTGCGCTGCTCCAGGTGGGCAGGTAGGTGTGGGGAGCTTCATTTGGGCAGCTCCTGCCCCAGCATGCTGGGCTTTGCCCTCTGCTTGAGCTCCAGCTCCCAGCGGTCTTTTACCCACTTCGCCTGCCTGCAGGTGGTGGATCATTGGCTGGGTGGGCAGAGCCAGTGGAAGGCAGTTGGGAGCTGGAGCCCTGCATGCTGACGCAGGAGTCACCCACCTGAATCCCCCCTCCCCGCCCAGCTGGAGCGGTGCAGCAGGGAAAGAAGCAGGAGGCAGAACCACCACTGGAGGTGAGAAGAACACAATAGCCCCACCAGCCTGGGCCCTGGCCAGCACTTGTAGCTTCTGGCAGGGCTATTCCAGGTGTGGCTGCAGCTGGCCAGGTGCTGCTGTGTTTGCTCCACCTCCAGTGGTAGCTCCTCCTCCCAATCCTGCCCCTGCTGTGCTGCTTTGGGTGTGCAAGCAGGCGTGGGGGGTGGGGAAGCTTTAGCTGGGCAGCACCTGCTGAAGGTGAGGGGAGCAGAGCAGCACTGGGAACAGTCCTGCCAGAAGCTGCGCACACTGGTCAGGGCCTGGCCGGTGGGTGTGGAAAGAAGCATGATGCAGGCTGCCCTGATGGGAGTGGGTGGGGGCTCAGCCCCATGCAGAGCATCACAGAGCCAGCTGTGGGCCAAATCCAGTCAACTGGCAGGCCGGATCCAGCCTGCAGGCCATATTTTGCCCACCCCTGCTCTAGTCCTTTGAGCTAACCCTTCCATCCCTATTCTCCTGTGCTCAGTACAAGCCACCCCTGGCCCCCTTACCCAGGGTGCAGAAAGAGCTAGCTACACCTCTGTGCTTTAGGATGACAATGATAAAACAGATCTTTATCCTAAAGGACCTGGATGAGTGAATCAAATTTAAATCTTTGTGTAATAGTTATATTTCCAAGTTCATTAGAACAATCAAAAGTATAAACAAATTAAATGTTAGGGAAAATATAATTTCTGTTCTCTCAAAAGGTAAGTTATTTGAAACGGAAGATGCATAGGATCTAATTTTCTTCTTTATACATATAGCGTG